CCTAGTTCTTTGAGGTATCTCCATACTGATTTCCACAGTGGTTGCACCAGTCTGCACTCCCACCAGCAGTGGAGAAGGGTTCCTTTCTCCCCACACCCCAACCATATTTTTCATATTTTAGTATTCTTGCAAAGAATACAGAGGAACAATGAATAATGCTGGTGATAAAGTCTATCTTGTCTCTTGTATAATCTGACTTTAGTGAGAATTACCCAAATGTTTCACTAATCTTATTAATAATAAAAAATAGTATATGTCATTTCCATATTTAAGGAGAAAGCTTTTAAGTCTCAACTCCATAAGTGGGTGACATTTTCTCCTTTTTGGAGAAGAGGAAACAATGGGACAGAAATATGTAAGTTTCTAATAAATACTGTGCTAAAAAAAAATCTCTTTTTAGCTTGTTATGTATTTTTAAATAAATGGATGTTGGACTTCATATAAACATCGTTTGCATGCATTAGGATCTTGGAATTTTTCTCATGCAGCCTAGTGTAAGCTGATAAATTAATAGATTTTCAAATGTTAAACCATCTCTGCACTCCTGGACTAAAAGAATATATTAAGACAAAGTAGAACTTAACAGTGTTGAATTTATTTTTATATGATTTTGCATATATAATAATACTTAGGGAAAAACAGAAACACTGGATAGGACAACAAACACTAGATAAAAATCAGATAAGGAAAAAAATTTGCATTAACATAATTCTGCTCAAGTTTATTCCATGATCACTAGATACTCAGTCAAAATCTTGGCTGGAGTGTCGTTCAGCAGTAGAGCATGTACCCTGTGTTCAATCCCTAGTGCCAAAAATTAAAAGTCAAAACCCAACTACTTTCTTTTTATTCATACTATTACAATACAATCTTTCCATCCAGTCAGAATAAGGAAGACAACCTGATGCAAAGGGACATTTGGTAGCCTTAAAATCTTTTCGGACAGCTTCTCCGATCTATTCTGCTATTTGCTACTCTACTAAAAAGCCTACTCTTTCTCCCTTAGAATACATCATCTCTGTTTTAAAGGTAGGGAACAGAGCAAATATACAAGTGTTGGAAGAAGGTCAGTTTGTCAACATAAAATCAGTTCCTCAGAAATAATTACCCAAAGAAAGGAAACGCACCTAAAGAAGACAGAAAATGATGACACAGATCTGTAAGATTTCAGGATTACTAGGTATTCATTTAAACTGATGGTATAGCATTTGGTAGGGGGAGTGTTTGAGACAGGGTCTCACTATGTAGCCCAGGCCGGCCTTAACCTCACTGTGATTCTCCTGTCTCAGACTCCCAAGTGCTGGGATTACAGGTGTGCGGCACCATGCCCAGGTCATAGTGTTTTTTTTTACAAACCCTTGTGTTGAGGGCTAACTTATAGTGTTATTTTTGAAAGGAATAGAAGTACATTATAAAGGAAAGCTACACAGAACCCGGAGGTGTAGGGCTTCTGGGTAACCAAAGCCCCATCATGGTTTATGGCACAGAAATAAAGATTCCCAATAATTTAATTTTTGTGATGCAGAAAAGGTCTTCTGAGGGTCTTTAAGCCTAGTCCTGGTTCTCTGCATAGCAGTATTTAAAACCTGGTCAATTATACAATCCACTCATCTTGAGTATCCTCCCCACCGCGAATAGTGCCTAGTACATAGGATTATCCACACATACCAATAATTCTAAATTGGGTTCAGGTTGTATGCAGTGGTCGTGTCCTTATGATTTTACTGTTTTATTTTGGTGCTGGCGATTGAACCCAGGCACTCACACCTGTTATTCACACACTTCGACCATACACTGTCACTGAGCTACACCCCCAGCCTGATTTTACTCTTACAAAGTTATTCTTACCCACTTTGGGTACCACTAACTATTGTTAAGTACCCCAAAAAAGAAGGCTTGCCGGCAATAGGTTATATACCCTGAAGGCACAGAAAACATGTTTATATCTAAATCTTTTTCCATTATACAGAGATAAAAGAAATTTATATTGCTGGAACATACCTCTAAAAGCCAGTCTAGAAGTATCGACCTCATCTGTGGTTCTAGGTCACAATGCAGAACTTCGAAATTCTTGTCATGAATATATGTGCTTTCCTTTTTTAACATGTTTAGCCAAACCTCTTTGGAACATCCCCAGCTATGGAAAGGGATAAAAATAACCAATTTACACTGTGTGATCTACACAACATACAAGCTCTCAGTTTACATAGCATAAATCCAACTGAGACATTAAAATCCAACTTTCAATTCGAATTTGAAAGAAGTAGCTTTTATAGTAGAAAAATATTTTTAGTCTAATTTTTAGAAACTATTTTTTCTGCATGAGAAAGTAGAAGCCTGAAGTAATATAGCAACTTGGAATGTGATCATCTAAAACTGGCAGATTTCAAAAAAGTGCTCTCATCCCACTTATTTATGCTAATTTAGATAAATTATTTAAACTCTACTTAAAAAGTAATTCAGGGCCAGGTGTAGTGGTGTATGCCTGTGACCCCAGCACTCACAAAGTTGAGGCAGCGGGATTGCTGAATTCAAAGCCAGCCTGGACTAGAGTGAGACTCTCCTTCAAAGAACTAAAAACAAAAAACCTGTTCTGCTAAATCTAATAATGGAAATAACTTTACAGAACCAATGTTTTAAATACTCCTATCATTTGGAATAGAACTACTCTCAAACAAAATACATGCTTAACTATTAGTAAAGAGTGCAATTTTTGTAAGTTTTTCTATTTTATAATGAAGGCAAATGGTAATACATGACATTATTTTTAGTTAAGTCAGTACAATTTTAAACTTTGATATAAAAGTACTGAAATTTTTCTTACCTTAAATCTGGCAAAGGTGAAGGATTAATAAAAAGATTTTTAAATCTGTAGTTTGTAAATCTAGAGAAGTCACTTGTTCCTATGTCTTTGTGGGGTGTTTCAATGAGAATGCAAGGACTGACTCCCCCAGATAATACAGGTGGCCAACAGTTCTGTGATTTGAAAAGACAAAAAATATCTATTTGTGCAATAAGAAACTTTAGCTTTTGTCCTGGATCTTTCATAAATTAAAGCTAATATTTCTAAACAATGCATAGTTTTAGCTAACATAGTTAATAATCTGGCTAATATGACATTAATACTTTATAAATAAGCCATATAGCTCATATCAATCTTCATAAAGTAACCGAATGTTTTAGACAATAAAATACAATTCTAGTAATATAAGACATTAGGTACTAAAGAGGACTAATAAAACACATCTGTAATATAAATATCAATCACTTTCAAGGTAAAAGAAATTGTAGTTCTCTAGAAGTGGCAGCAAAGGTACCTATTTATTTATTTATTTATTTATTTGGTACTGGAGATTGAACTTAGGGTCTTGTGCTTACAAGGCAGGCATGGTGCCACTGAGCTAAATACCCAGCCTCAAAGGTACTTTTTTAAATAAAAAGCTTTTAGTTAAGCCCTCCTCCAATACTTTAAAATACTTGAAGGCAAAACCTTAAAAATGGAATCTAGGGCCAGGGATTTAGCTCAGTGGTTTTGCCACCTGCCTTGCAAGTGCAAGGACCAGAGTTCGATCCCCATACCAAAAAAAAAAAAAAGGAATCTAGTGGGATCAAAGGATTCTTCTTCTAGTAATGCTGGTTTTAAAGGCAAACACTGTGCTTTCTATGCAACACATAGGAAGAAGAGGTAGCAAAGGGCTGTATGGCAGGCTATCAGTGATCTCACACCCTATTTTTGCCAAAGCAGCAGCTATTAGAATAGACCATCTACTATAGTCTGAGAGGGAACAAAGAGCAGAATATCAGACAGATTAGGCGGGCCCTGGTGCACCAGGCAGCTCCAAGAGGGAGGGATTTACAAAAAGGAACCAGCTGCTTCAAGGCAAACTTACTCTGCAGCTGTAGTAGGATTCAGACATATATAAACCTTCCTGCTGTCCTCCAGGGGCATTAAAAGTGACAGAGAAATCCTTCTTTTGCAAAGCAATAATACATTATTCTTATTTATCCTCTCCTGCATTTGTTTTCCCCAAAACCACCAAGCCCACTTCTGCATTACCCTTATCTCATATTGATGTTTCCTGGTGACTTTTTCTTTTCTTTTTTTGACATCCTGGAAAACAGAAAAGACCATTGGTAAACTAAGTTCCAGGAAGAAATCTCTTCCCTCCCTTTCTTTGTCCTTAAATCACCTGTGCTGTTTTTCTCTTCTTGGCCTGGATTATCTGGGCGTCCTGGGGGGAGTCTGGCTGGCTGGGCTGAGCATGCTGCTTAGCTTGTAAACGGCTACTGCACAGGATTTTTAAAAAGGAAGTTTAATTAGTAAGTCATGCATTTCAAAGGCAGCAGCTCATTTTGAAACATGTCTCCAAGACAAATAATGTTACCTGCGTCTTGACATTCTCTTCTTTCAGGTGTATGAAACTCTGCAGTGAGGGGAGAAGAAAAACCAGAGTTAAGTATTGTACATTGCTATCCCTATTCTCCAACTGTCAATCAGAGCTGATCAGAGGTTACAGCTAAATCTCTCAAAGGTGGCCAGGGCCATGTTACCACGTTGTGTTGTGCACTCCTTTAGTTATCTCATGGTAACTTATTCTGGACACACGCCTGCATTTCCACGACTGAATGCACAGCCTGGTCGCGAGTGCCTTCAAACGTGTACCCTGAACGCTCAGGGCCGGTCTCCCCGGACTGGCTGTTTCGGGACCTCCACCGTCTCCCCCCACATCCACAGTGGGACTGAGGCAGCGCCCGCCCTCAGCTCCAGCACGGTCGGCGGGCAGAGGGGGCCGCGCGGGCGAAGCGCTGTGGAGAGGCCGGTTCCGCGCCAATTTGGAGAGCGGCAGTGGCGGGGAAACAGGGGGCGGAGGAACCGCGGCGGGTGTCACGTCCTCTCGGCTCCTTTCCCTCCTTCCTAACCCCGCCGGGTGCTGCCCGCCTCTTGGAGGGGCACCCGGACTCCAACCCCAGAGGAGGGGCGGAGGGAGAGAAAGGGGGGACTCTGGCGGGTCAGGAGCTTTGCTCCCGGAGGAGAGGACCCAGACGCCCATCCTCTGTTCCACGGGGAGCTCCCCGCACAGGAGTGGGCTAGAGAAGCCCCTAGAGCAAGGGGCTTAAGCGTGGCCTCCCACGAGGGGGCTGCCCGCCACCCCGCCGCTCTCCTGGCCCCAGCCAGGGGTCCTGACAGGGGCGGAACTCGGGGACCCATTCCTCCCAAGCGCCTGGCTCTCCGCCTTCCCAGTTTCCCTCCCTCAAGGATCCCGCTCGCGGGAAGGACCAGCTCGGCGGGGCTTCCCCGCCCTCCCCCGGAACCCCCTAAGCCCAGCACCTCCTCACCGCCAGACCCGCTACCGCTCGGCTCAGCTGGCGCCGGCGCCAACCCAATATATAGGCCGGGCCGGGCCCGCCCGCACGCATGCGCCTCGGCTGACACCTCCGCCGGCGCGCTCTGCGCTCCGCGCTCCCGCCCGCGCCCCGCCCTGCCCTGCCCGCAGTGCGCGCCGCGCCGGTCCCCGGGGTGAGCCCGGGGGGCGCTGGAGGCTGCAGCGGCTCCTCCAAAGTCGACTTCTTGCCGCGCAGCTCCCGCACCTCCCGCCAGCTCGCTCCCGTCGCCTCCCGCGGTAACGCCGCTGTAACGCCCCGGCAGCAGGGATGTCAGGCTGCAGCGCCACCCCAGCGTCCGGCCAAGGGCGGCCACTGGGGCTCCTGCAGCCGCGGGAAAGCAGCGGTGGTGGAGCGCCCCGGGTCCCGCCAAGGCCGGGGAAGCTGGTCTTCCAGAGAGGCGCGAGGAGCCAGCGGGCCCGCCCCTGCGGGAGGAGCGAGGCTGCAGCCGCCCGGCCGGCCAATAGGAGGCGGGGACGCCGCGCAACGTGGAGCCGGCGCGATGTAAACACAGGCAGGCGGTGGCGAGCCACGTGCGCCTACGAGCGCCCGCCGGCCGAGGTACGTGTCTGCCCGCCCGCCCGCCGGGCTGCGCGCCCCGCGCCGGTCGCCCCTCAGCCCGCCGCCCTGCTCCCGGCCCGCAGCTCGCACGCAGCAGGCCCCGCGCGGGAAACGCTCGCGCCGCCCGCACTCTGCCCAGCCCCAGGTGCCGGCCCGGGGGTGAAAGCCCCCTCATCCCGCCATCGGTAGCCTGCCGAGGGCCGGGCCGGGAGGGAGGACAGTGGCCGCCGTGTGCAGGCCTGCGCCGCGCCCCGCCCCGCCCCGCCCCGCCGCCTGCGCGCCCGGAGGAGCCCGCACGAGCCGCCTGCCCGGGGCCGCGAGGGGAGTTTGACGGCCGCCGGCGGGCCCCGCGCGTTTCCTTCTCCTCGTCTCTGTATTTCCGCTCGGGGGTCCCCCGGCCACCGCTCTGCGCGCTCTGTTCCTGCTTGTTCTTGCACGTTTGGGAGTCGGACACGCGGGTGGCACGGCGTGCACAGATTGTGGGGCGGGAAGGAGGCAGCTCCCGAAACAAAGATCGCGGGGCGGAGGGGCCGTGTGCAGCGCCGGGGGCCTTGGGGGCCTCGCTCCGCCGGCCCGGGGAGCGCCTGGCCCTACCCGAGATGCCCCGGGACGGCCAGCGCGGGCTTTGTGCAGCGCCGCCCTGCGAGCCCGGAGCTGGGACGCGCCGGTGCGCTCCGGGCTGGCAGAGCTGTTCACTCTTGCTCTTTCCTTTCTTCAAACGGTCTCGAGTCGCAGGCACAAGAATTGTTTCTTTTCCAAATTTATGCTTAATAGCCTTACCCAGGGTGACATAGGAGCAGAAGAGTCCTATACCTGGTCAGGCCCAAGAAACTTCATACAGTTTATGTGGCTCTCGTTAAGGCGGGAGTCGCCTCCCTTTTGCCTTCACTGAAGTCTGTTGCCATGATGGTAAGGAAAGGATGGGGCAGGTGTCTCCTAACAAGTGTGTGTTAGCCGAGCAAAAGCAAAATTGGTGGCCTGCGTGATTGAGGTTGGTCGTCAAAATATGCTGAAAGCCAAGAATGTCATTAATATTTGTGGGATTAATCTTTGAGTATCGTATGTCCCTAGCCCTGGCATAAATTTCGTGTAAACAAGGCACTGTAGTTAGAAGTTACTTTGGCCCTACTCTTGTGTATTATATGAACAGAGCACAATTGTAGTAAAGGAAAAATAAGAGCAATATCAAGTGAGCATTGTGTGGAAAGAATTAGGATGAATGTCACTATGTTCCAAGTATCTGGTGGGTGGACAAGTGGGTCTGTAGAAAGCATGGGGTTTCCTCAGACACACCAGGTTCCCATCTGGTGCTTCTGCAAAATACAGAATTTCTTTGAGTGTGGGTTTTCTCTAGAAAACAAGGAGTCATGCATCTCAAGGTGGGGTGTGTGTGTGTGTATGTGTGTGTGTGTGTGTGTGTGTGTGTGTGTTTCTTCAGTACTTGGGATTGAGTCAGAGGCCTTCACACTGGGCTGCATCCCCAGCCCTTTATCTTTTGAGACAGAGTCTGTCACTTGTGTTTTTTTTTTTTTTTTGTACCAAGGATTGAACTCAGGACCTTGTGCATGCAAGACAGGTGCGGTGCCGCTGAGCTAAATCCCCAGTCCTTAAGTCACTTAACTTGTGATCCTCCTGCCTCAGCCTCCCAGAGTGCTGGGATTACAGGTGCACCACCATACTTGGCTCTTGCATTCATTTCTGGGGGCAGGGAGGATACTTGGTGGCACAATGTTGTGTTGTTTGAATTAAACCGGTGGTGTGTACCTCTAGTCCTAGTTACTTGGGAGCCGGGGCAATGTAGCAAGACCTTATCTCTTCAAAACTAAGGAACAAAAAACAGTCCCAGGGCCAGGGATTTAGCTCAGTGGTGCTACCACCTGCCTTGCAAGCACAAGGTCCCGGGTTTGATCCTGGGTACCCTCCCCCCCCAAAAAAACAACAGGCCCAGCCTACCTATTTCTTGATTTACTTTGCTATACCTTCTCTGTGTAGGCCTCCCATATCCTTTTCTCTGTGCTCTCCAGTTAAAACAATCCTTATCTATATAAATGTCTTTTTCTCTCCTGCTAGGCCTCTGACCTTGTTTTGTTCATCTTATAGCCAAGACCCCACAGTTCAAAGGGTTGCATGCATAGTAGGACCTTGGTAAATGCTGATTTGAATCATGTATAGGCTGTCCTGGTACAGAACTCGAGGTGTCTAAGCGTGATAGAGGATGGCATCATTCCCAGTAAATACTAGGGATATGAGTAGAACAGAGCTTCTATACTCCTACTGCCTCACTTCACACATAGTTTCCCTTATTATTGACATCTAGTATCCCACACTTACTACCATATGAAACATTTATTAATGAATCAGTGTGGATACATTATTGACAAAAGTCCACGCTTTGTCCAGATTCCTTAGTGTCTTTACCACTCTTCCATCTTATGTAGAATATATCACATTTAGATGTCACATTTCCTGGGCTCTGACAGTTTCTCAGATGTCCCGTATTTTTGGTGACTCATAGTTTTGAGGAGTACTGGGAGTGTTTTGCAAGCTGCCTCTCTTTTGGAATTCCATGTTTTTCTTGTGGTTAGACTGGGTTTAGGGTTATGGATTTAGGAGAGAAAAAACATAGAGGTGAAATAGAGTTTTCATCACCTTGTGTTATAGTTGCATACTGCTGTCATGATTTATCATCCCTAATGCCGACCTTGATCACCTGGCTAAGGAAGCGTTTGTCTGGTTTCATTGTGGTAAAGATAGTTCTTTTGCTCTTATTACGTACTGTGCTCTTTGGAAATAAGTCAGTATAGGCAGCCCATGAATAAGGGGTGGGGAGTAATGTTCCTCCTCCTTTAAGGTCCAATATCTATGTTATCTGAATCTTTTCTACTCTGGAGATTTGTTTCTTTTTATGATTTATTTTATACTTTGAATATAATTCCATACTGTCTTGTTGCTTCAGTTGTTCAAAGCTTTGGCCATGGTATTTTAAACACTTTTTTAATCATATGAAGCTGATTTGAACCTAAGCAAAAATGAATCATACTTAATGACAATATTTCTCCCAAAATAAGAGTTAAACACTTTTTCCTGTCTAATGAAAGTTGCTTACTGTCCATGCTTACCCAAAATGTATCTAAAGAAATAACAATCTACCCAAATGTTAGCAATGGATTATCAATTAAACTACTTCTTTTATTGTCTCAGCAAGTTTCACCATAAGTGGCCTTTTTTTTTTTCTTAATTAGGAGTGAATGTTGAAGCACATGACTACTGGAGTAATTTGCTTAAATTTATGCTAAGGCAGTAGCAAGGTGTGTGTGTGTGTGTGTGTGTGTGTGTGTGTGTGTGTTTGCAGTGCTGGAGATTGAGCACAGGGCCTCATACATGCTAGGCAAACACAGTTGTGTCCCAGCGCTCCACTAGCAGTTTTAACTACCGTTTTTTTTCCTCCATCATAGTAAAAGAACAGATGTCTTGATTTTATTACTAAATAAATCTTATGAAATAGTTTTGATTTCACTTCAGCCCAAAGGGTCTTTGGACACACCCCCTCCCTGACCACCTTCATGGATCACACTTTGAGAGCTGCAGATCAGGCTGTCCAAACTACAATCTGAGAGTCAACCTTGTTTCTTCTATTTTTGGAGCTCCATTATCACAGTTAACACTTGCTGAGCAAGATGATGTGCTAAGCTGTACCCAGCGCTTTTACATGGTATCAGATCTTTAATTCTTCCCCAGCATTATGAGACAGGTGCTGTTACTGTTATCCTGTTTTACAGATGAGGACCCTGAGCCATAAATGTCATCTGCCCAGCATCCACAGTGGAGCCTGGCTCCAGTGCCCCTGTGCTCTACTCCTTCCAGCTGTCACCAAAGTCCTTCAAAGTCCTGCCTGGCCCCAGGACTCACCCCCTCCTAGCTACTGCAGTAGCCTCCTACCTTGCTTTCTAGGCATACCCTGCCCCTCCCGCCCTGCCTTCCAGCACATGCCAGAGCTCTTTTTCCAAAGCACAGATTTTCCCAGGCTCCTACCCCGCTTCACATCCTTCTGCGGTGACCTCGGGTGAAAGGCTAAGCCCCTTTGCACATGGGCTCTGGCGTGTGGGAAGGTAGTCCAATTGCATGCCTTTCTCCACTCCCTTTGCGTGTGCATCCCTTGTCCTGCCACCTCCCCTGTCTTCCCCAGCCAGGCCCATTTACCCAACTCATCCCGATGCCCAGCGCCCCCACTCTAGAAAGCTGCCCTGCTCCCCATGCATACCTGCCTCCACCCCTCCCCTTACCCCTGCAGGTGCTCCTGGGCAGGGCTGTCTTTTCCATCACCAACCTGCCTAGCTGGCCGCAGCCTGCTTTGGAAGTGGTGGAGAGGGCAGCAGAGATGTGTGTGCTGAGTGGTCTAACCAGACTGCTGGGGACACTCCCTTGCAGGAGCTTTGTGGCTGGCACTTGTGGGCTCAGCAGGTTCTCTCCCTCTAGAGGCAGAGCTGCTGCTGGCCTCTGGGGACTCCAGAAGCACGGCGAGTCCAGGCAGAGGTTCCCTTGGCTCTGTGGTGCCGTTTTTGGCTGCTGTCTCAGGGAGGGTCCGCACCAAGGAAGGGCTGGTGGGGTGGGAGCCAGAGCACACTTAGGAACCGGCGCTCTGGCTCCCTCAATGATTGTCATGCTTCAGGGTGAGAAGAGAGTGGGGGAATCCAGAGACTGTGGTGGGTGGTGGACATAGGAAAGAGGGTGCTCCGGGCCACGGGACATGGCAGTTAGTAAGAAGTTTTCTCTGTCCATTGAGTTAAGTCCACAGGGTGTGGGGCAGAATAAATGTGTAACAGGTATCTACCGTTAAGCACAATGGAAAAGATAATATAAGGGG